ACTTTCCTGGCCATTCAACCAGCCGTTGCTTCCTCCTGTGTTGTGAAGGGTTGGTTAAGCCACTCATCCTTTTGCTAGGCTTTCTTTTTTAATGGGAGTTTTGGGGATCTAGTAATTTCTCCAAGCATTGCATTCCAGTAGGTCAGCTGACATTCATGATGCCATTCAGATCTCGTTCTGCTATTCGTGGTAAGCATTAAGAAAACAGGAGTGGACAATCATCTTTCACTTCCGTAAGGCTGTCCAGAAGGGTAAAAAAATAGATCTTCTGAAAAGTGGAAATATATATTGGGCATAATAAAGATCCTCTAGAAAGTCAGGCTGAGACCCTTACCTAGAGCTTTGTCCCTCAAAGTAAAACCGAGACTGTGATGGGACCAGTCTGTAAGTCATGTTGTGAGCAGAGCTGCAGTACTACATTCATCTGCATGATAGGTTGCTGAACCATAAGCTGACCCACACTTTCCAAAGTGCAGGAAAAACGTTAATCCTTTAGATCACAGCCTGACTGCTTGCCTCTCTGCGCAGCTCTATACCTAGACCTGTCTTTTTTTCTTCAGTCTGCTTTTTTCGTCATCTACTTGCCCGATACCCTGCAGTTTCTAATTGTGACAGGTGGGTACGCGTTACTTTTGAGTCTGGGGTGGGCTGCCTCTGTACAGGATTGTGTGCAACTCCACTCTCTCCCTCCTCGAGAAGCCCTGTGCATATACAGGTCAAATAGGGATTTCTTGGTGAACTGGAAATGAATCCTTCCAAACCTCCATTACCACCAGTGAGTTGCTCCCAGTTTGATTTACTCTTTCAGGAAGGCCCTGCAATGGGATCTTTCAGTCGTGATCCATGTGGTAGAACTGACTGTCTAAGAGGAGGCCTGGACTCTTAGGTGGTGAATCAATGCTTACAGAGGACTTCAGAGATATAGGAGTAATTAGATTCCTCAAATCTCAGTTTCTGTTTAAACCTGCATTGTATTCACTGATGCAGTGATATGGTACGTACACCGATGTCTTCACAGTTTCTCAGTTGAGGCACTGATTCAGCAAAGTAATCTAGCACATGCACTGCATCAAGTACCTAAAATAGCACCTGTAAAATCCATGCTAAATAAATAAGGGGAAACTCAAGTAACTGAAGAGAAAACACATTTATGTAGGGTAAGCTCATTCTGAACAATGAGCACAGTTAAAGTGAATTTGATTTTTCCAAGCCCTTCTCTCCATCTTTGGCTGTAACTTTTTTTTTTTTTTTTTTTAAATTCTAAGGGTGTGATCAGGAATGGCAGGGTCAGATTGATTGTCCTCATGTCTGCAGGCAATTTTTGACAAACATTTGAGTCAGACCTCCCCTTGGCAGATGGTCTTTCAGGTTTCTCTGGTGCAGTGGGAGAGGTATTTCTGTGGTCTGCACAGCACTGCAGGCTGCCATAAGAATTCACTGTTGGAGAAGGAGGTCAGGCAGTTACTGATACGCGTACGTGGGCTACTGAGAAGGTCAGCATCAGGGGTCTCCCACCGAGGCAGCCTGGAGAGAATTGTGCTGCTGGAGAAGCTGCTCCTGCTCACATTAGAAAAATCTCACAGGAGAGAGAAGAATGAGAAGAAGGGAATGAGAAGAAAAAAAAGAAGGGGATTTTGTGATTGAATTTCATTTGTACCAAGTACAGCAGGTTATCAAATAGGAGAGTTTCAGTGGGATTAGTGTCTGTTACTTTAACATCTTCAGGTGTTTTTGTAGATTAAAGCAAATTAATTTTTTCAGATGGAGTAATTTCCTTTCAATTTAAAAGATGTGTGCTACCGCTGAAAACAGTGTTTACAGTAGTGGTATAAACATAAAGCAAAATAAAAAATGCTAGGTATTTTTTATTACAGAAATTAATCATTTCAAGTGGTCTCTAAAACAGAAATGCACATACCTCGTCGAAGTGACAAATGTAGGATTTCTTGTCTTCTCTACAACCAGGATTGTTTAGGCTACCCCACAAAAATGAACTTAAAACCCATGCCAGATAATCTGCAATGAGTATTCTTTATATTGAGACATTGAAGAAGGAGTAGTCTCAGAACCTCCTTCATTTACTTGGAACCTTTTCTTTTTCCAACATTTTTTCATTCTCAGTCATCTCCAGTTACAGCAGGGCAGGGATCAGAAGCCAGCTGTTGAGGTTACTCTTTTGTGCTGGGTAATGATGGTAGAGTGAGAAATAAACTACGAGCTGTGACTGAAGGCAGGCTTGTAATTACTTGAATATAATGATAATTGGCCTTAATACTGTAACAAATGCTCTGAGCTTGCACATCCAACTCTGCAGTTTGGATCAATTTTCTTGTTTATGAAATCAGCTTGCTTTTATTAGCACCGGAATTACCCAGTAACAGAATGGTGAATGATCTAGTGAGGGTCACTGCAAAAGAAAGGGAAAAAATTCATGATTAAACAGTGGATTCAGATGCATTCCTGTATAGGACTGGAGTTTGGAGGGGAAAGGGGGTTGAGGCAAAATAGGAAGTGTTGGCTTACTTTTTCTTAATACTGTTTGGGTGGTCTGTTGTTTTCTCCTCTTACCCGGTGTAAGTTTAGACTCCTGAACTCAGGATGCAAAGGGCTAGACTAAGCAGCCTAACAACAGTTGACATCAAACCTCTATCACACACAGTTCTGTTCCAAGTTGTTTTGCCCTACTTGTAAATACTTGGCAATCATAGCAGCTTTCAGTATTTGAAGATCCATTTTTGTCTGCCTGAAACTGGGATGTGAACTTTCTCCTAAAGTGCAGGTGTCCATCCCCGTCCTGTCCTGTCCCCCATATTAAGACTACGTCCTTGGCGATCACAGCATGAAATATTCCCATTGCTTGTTGTTCAACACCCTGATCGGAGAGCAGATGAGACAGTTATTCCTGTTGTTGCTGATTTACTATTACAGCTGCATCCTCTTCATGTGATTTAATTTGAAGTTTCAACCCACTAGGGGGCTAATGGTCCCCACCTATGCAGCTTTAAAAGCTCACTGTTGTTTTCCACAGGAATGTTATTTCCATTCTTAGCCAGTGATTTATTTTTTTTTCCTCAATGTTCACCTGGTAACTGTGAGGCAGTATTCCATTAGCCATTTTCATGAAAAAAAAAAAAAACCAAAAAAAAAACCAAACCAAAAAAAAACCCCCAAAACATAAACCACCACCACAAAAAAAAAAACCCCAAAACCTATACAACTATTTAGATTGAAAGCTTAAAAATGAGAATTACTCTGTTTCAGTAGAAACTCAGCCAGTAAATGACTCTGTTTTGCAGTGTTCTAATGGTTATTGGAGACGGATATAAAAAAACCAACAGGACATAGGCATCATTTAGATCCTTTATGTTTCTCTTATTTCTAAAATGTAACATATGTAATCAACTCATTTTTTCCATATCTCAGGAAAATGTAGGGCAGGCGGCAGACCCTGGAGTGCGTTGCATAGTGTGGTGCTGCCTGTGGTGAGATGAATTCTGAAAACATTAGCAACTGCAGTGGAATCCAAGGTGTGATTGTCGACTGCTAGCAAGTTCTGCATGCCTGAGCAGGCCCAGGGGAGCTCGGTTTGAGTGTGACTACAAAGTTGTGACTGCAAGCTGGATAACCAAAGGCACTATTTCAGGAATACTTTCAACCAGGCTTCTTACAAGAACAGAATTCTACATCTCTCTCACTAAGTTGTTCTTGAAGCAAAACTTAAAAAGTTAGGAGTTTCTACGTTTACCTTTAATTTTTAAGTGTTAATAGTTCTAAGTAATAAATGACCTTGAAAACCTTTCTAAAGAAACAGAACTAACTTTGATGCTCAGCATAGCCTGTTGTCCGCCTTTATTGTTGAGTGTGAGTTTGAGTGGCAATCCTGAGTTTACATCTGTGTAAAATTTCAGTTTTTCTATTCTTATTACTTTTTATGTGATTAAAGTCTGTGTATGTGGTTTTTTTTCCTCATCTTAAGTATATATTTGTAACATAAACATTTGCAATTTGTGATACATTCTCTGCTGGTCCAAAGAGTGCTTTGATGAGTTATGTACCTTCTAGGGTTTGGATGTTCATCATCAGCATTAGAAATTTGGCTCTCCACTGAGTTAATGGTATCTCACCTCGCTGGAAATTGCAAGAGTCTTCCTCCCAACCACCCTGTTTTTGATGGCTTATTTCTTGCTTGGGGGCGGTGAGGAGGGGGAGATGGATTGCACTGCAAAAAGGATGGAAGCTGGGCAGACTGATAGAAGTGGCTGCGTGAAACCTCATTGCTTTCAACTATTATTAAAGGGTGGTGCAATCTTTCCCCTCTTTGAGCAGGAGGACATTATTACCAAATATCAGTGTTCAAGGTACAATACAAATCAAATATACTACTTCCTAAGCCCCTGATTGATGGAAAATAAAATATTAGCTGCCAGGAAACAAGTTTTCCAACACTATCACTCAGTCATGCAGTGGTCAGTAACCTTTTCAATACAACCTTAATATTGCATTGGTAATTGTATTTTTTAAAGAATACAAGTTTTTAATAGTTATTCTACTGCGGTTTAGAGCTATTTTGGCTTATTGGAATCTTACCAGTTAATAAGTTAACTACTGGTAACAACCACTAATGCGAACTCTTTGCCTGGGTAATGTCGCTTGCGGTGTTTAATGAATTAGGCTCAAAAAATAGAGCAGAGTACTAGACTTGACTGACCTGCTGTAGAGGCAGTGCAGAATTAGTCATTGGCTGTGAATGTTAATCACTCCGCAGCAATGATAATTTACAGCATTGTTGTAGCGCTCTTGTGCTCATAAAATGAACTTAATAACCCACTGCTACCCATGGGATAAGCCTTCCTCCTCCTTCCCTCCCCCTTCCAACTGAATACCCGGTCTGGCTGCATAATAGCCTCGTGAAATACTGCATTAAAAAGAGTGAGCAGCTGTATGATAAAATAAACAGCTCTAAAACAGATTTGTTAATTATCTCTTTCTTTTATTCTCAGAGGGTGTTTGTGAGATATGGCTGACCAGTGAAGACACAGGGGCTTATGGCAGAGACATTGGGACAGACCTCCCTACGCTTCTGTGGAAGCTGGTTGAAGCTATTCCTGAGGGAGCTATGCTGAGGCTTGGCATGACAAACCCTCCCTATATTTTAGAGCATCTGGAGGTAAGGAAGAAAAGAGAATCATTTATATGCCGGCATAGATGTTCATTGAGTGATTCAGCGTGGAACCTTGTGTATAGTGTGTTTCGTTTTAAGCGGTAGCTTAACAAAGTTCTGGACTTCAAGTAAATTTATAGAATTAGACTAATAGCATTAAGCCATTTGCCTGACACAGCCAGCTCTTGATAATAAGATATTCAAATGATTTTGGAATGATAACATTACTGAGGTCTCTGACCTGTGGAGCTTTATTATAGCAATGTTGCATTTGTGTGTATGTCTAGTGTTTTCAAGAGCTGAAGGAAATGTCATTAGCAGGCAATGGGCTATGGGATTGAATTTTTCTTCCTGCTACACTTCAGACAAGTATTTCCAGAAACACTATATGCTGGTCTCACTCGACGACATACTCATTATCCTATGTCAAATGCTGTTCCGAGAGTGTGTAGAGCTTCCATGATAAGAAATGGAAATTCTAAGTGTGTATCTCTGTTAAAACAATCGTAACACAGTAGTTCAATGAGATTAGAAGCAACAAAGTGTACAACAATGTGAATTTGAAAGAATATCGTATGTATGCAGAGCAGGAAGGGAGAGTTTTGTCTCAAAGATTGGTTGGTTTGGTTGGATTCTGTCACCAAATAAGTTTTTTGAAATTTATAAGAGCTGTTTATATAAAGAACCTAACTTTAAAGAGGAGGAAAAAGCAAAGAAGGATATAGCTTAAGGTAAGTTTTGTAACCGTGTGCATCAGCGGTATCAAGATAAACAGCTGGTGTCCATGCTGCTTTTCCAATGATATTATAGAATTAATAGTTGCACTTATGTTTTCTCTAAGGTGTCAAGGGCAGTATTTTCTCACCAGAGTGCCATATCTGCACCTTTTCCTATTGAAGCACATGGGCTAGAGGAATCTCATCTTGATAGGAATAAGCAGTTTTTCACTTCACCAGCTCAAGAAATTTTCCAGTCTGTTATTTTATTCTTTGGTTTAATATACGCTTTGCTAAGAGAGAATCTTAACAAAACACCAAATATAAATCTTTAGGAAGTGGTATGGTTGTGTTTCTTAGAGCTTTGCATTCTGTCTCGAGCTCTCATATCTGTTGCAAGTTTTTCCTCTTTTTTTTATTTTAACATTTTTCGGCATCTTGCACAAAAGCAAATCAATCTTTTAGCAGTTTTCACAGTTAGTGTCTTTGCTTTCATTTTTAACTCACATTATTAAAAGTGTTTTGGCATAGGCTGCTGCTTTTGTCACTGCTGCTCATCTTATGAGCACTCAGAAGCTTTTTTTTTTTGTTCTGTTTTGGTTTTTTTTTTTAAAAGATCAGTTACTGGAAATAAGAAACTGCTCTGCCCAGTTAAGGGGGACTGTAGTAGTCTTAATTTTATATAATCTGAGCAAGGTGGAAAGTATATTGATTTCCTTCAGTCAGTAGCCATCTTAATGAGTGTAAGCATGTCACATATCTGTGAATGGTTTTGATTTATTCATCTCTAATCTTCCAGGTTCTAAATTTTCTAGAAAGTGCTGTAGGTAGGACTCCCTTTGACCTGACTCATATTTGGGACAAGTACTCTAATCTCTTCAAAAATGGATCTTCAAGTGTAATGGCAGAGAGGATTTCATGAAAACCTATTGAAAATGTGTATCCTATATATTGCTGTGTAGAGCACGCGTCATGTGTACACCAGCCTTTTTGTACAATAGCAACATCTACTGTTGCTTGTCCTCTTCAGCATTTCATACAATTTCCAGTTTGAAGATGTTTTTTAAGGATTATTTAATCACATTTCTGTGTTTCATGTATGACCAAGAATTTCAGAGCTTGTAATTTGGTGAAATAATTTTGATGATTTGTCAAACTAAATTTGTAAAACTTTGATTTACCTTCTGCATTTTTCTCTAGGCCCCCCTTCCAAGCTTTCCAGACTTGTACCTGAAACATCACTAGGGAATATTGGCAGTCTCCTGTATACATTTTCACCAGACAAAATAAACTTTTTACCAGGAGCGTGCTTTTAACTTTCCAGTTGAGGAAAGGGTAAAACTATGATTTGTTTAAAAAATAAAATAAATGAGAAGTTGATTAACCTTCATGTCAGTTGATTAGGATAAAATCCAGATGTAGTTCTGTTATCTCCTAAGGAAGGTGTGAAGCTGTGTTATTGGTTGCAAACATCTTTCATTAATTGTTTTAAAAGGTGCTGCATTTATTAATTTACTTTGCTAGAAGTCATGCTGCTAACTAGGATGATGTTTGGCTTCCTGCAAAAAAATTTTACATGGGAGAATGTACTAATTGTGTGTCACTTTTTATATCCAATGAAAAGGAAAAAGTTGTTCCAATAGTGTATCTTTTTTAAAAATGAGAAATTTTCAGCAATTGCATACAACTGTACATATGGAACTGCTAGGCAAGGGTTTATTTCACTTTAGTAATGAACACATGTCTGATAATTGGCATAGAGCAACAGCAGTCATCAAAAAGCATAAATTAATTTTAAGATCTGGACAGAGCTTCCCTAGAGAATCAGCCCAAAAGCAATGATTTTGATTCATTTACAGTTTTTGCCATGTTTATTGGAGCTTACCTGGAGGTAAAAGATTTGGCCAGTTTTATGTCTGTCATGTTCTTGTAACCTCCAGACCTAATAACAAATTTTATATAAATGCATTTGTTTTTTTCAGTAACACTCATAGAATCATAGAATGGTTTGGGTTGGAAGCAACCTTAAAGATCATCTAGTTCCAACCCTCTGCCATGGGCAGGGACACCTTCCACTAGACCGGGTTCCTCAAAGCCCCATCCACCCTGGCCTTGAACACTTCCAGGAATGAGGCATCCACAGCTTCTTTGGGAAATCTGTTCCAGTGCCTCACCACCCTCACAGTGAAGAATTTCTTCCTTACAGCAAATCTAAATCTACCCCCTTTCAGTCTAAAGCCATCACCCCTTGTCCTATCACTATATGCCCTTATCAAAAGTCCCTCTCCACCTGTCTTGTTAGCCCCCCTTCAGGTACTGGAAGGCTGCTCTAAGGTCTCCCCAGAGCCTTCTCTTCTCCAGGCTGAACAAGCCCAACTCTCTCAGCCTGTCCTCATAGGAGAGGTGCTCCAGCCCTCTGGTCATCTTCGTGGCCTTCCTCTGGACCTGCTCCAAGAGGTTCATGTCTTTCCAATGTTGAGGGTCCCAAAGCTGGACTGAGGGCTCCAGGTGGGGTCTCACCAGAGCGGAGCAGAGGGGCAGAATCACCTCCCTCGCCCTGCTGGCCACGCTTCTTTTGATGCAGCCCAGGATATGGTTGGCCTTCTGGGCTGCGAGTGCACATTGCTGGGTCATGTTGAGCTTGAACGGGAGGAGATTGAAAATAAAAAGAACAGGGATGTGCCAGTTAATACTGTGAGTTGTAGATGGTGCAGCTGCAGTAGAAGCAAAGAATTCCTCAGACCACGATGTCAATGCTAATGTCCTTAATGAATGAGAGAAATAGTGCACCTGTGGGTAATATGACTGAATAATGGACTAAAAATTTTAAAATGCATCACTTTATATACAGTTGAAGCCTAAGTTGCACATACTGTTCTAGCAGCATGTGGAGTCATCCACAGAGGGGAGGTATCTTGAGTGCTGGGTTTTTCTCCCCTTGCTCCACACCTCAGTCCTTTGCAATATGCCCGGATTACATTGTTTGTGTTGCTCAGGTGGATCTTTAAAATGGAGTTAGACATGAGGTACTAGGGTTACATATTAATTAGTGTCTTGGTGGTTCTCAGGAAAACAGATTGTATTCACTGAGTAAAATAATACAACTTTTTCACACTATGTGTATTTTCTCTATATAGGTGGAATAGCTTTCTCCTTCATTGAAAGATACTTAGCCCAGTTTTTGATAAACTGCTTATAGATTGAAATTTATTTGCAAGTGCCAAAAAGTGATTACAGGTTATTATTTTTTCCTCAGAAAAATTATTTCATAAATGTACTCTGAGATACTGTCTGCTTAGAAAGTGTACGGTGGATGGTATTATGACCAGAGGTCTGTTTAAGCTGTCAGAAACATTTCCTTTGTACTGTGCTGGGCTTTGGCCATGCATCTTTTGAGTCATTAATATAGTGCCCGCACTCACAGGTTCCCTGGACATAAAAATGGAGGAAGAGAAAATGTCATTCTTCTCAGGAGTGTTTCATCTGCCTCTGTATCTGGGAACCAGTCTAAGAAGTGCCAGCCGACAGCTCTGCTCTTCTGCTGGTGCTGGAGGCCAGCACAAGTGGAGGAGGAGGAGGAGAAGAGCTTCCCTTGGGTCAGGTGTGGCAAGACTAGAGCAGAGAAAGGGGCAAAGGAAGGCTGTGGGTGCTTGTAATTGGCCTCGAGGCTCTTGTGCTGCAAGGCTTGGTAGATTCGGGGCCTTGGGCCAGCGGTCATTCAAATTCAGGTTTATTATAGGTAGGGAGTCAGTTTAAAATATTGAGCGTACCCAGCACCTTCAGCTACTAGTCAGGTAAATGCCGTTCTGTCCTTAAATATGTTTGTCGTTTCAGGGGAGGCTGTTAATCTCATGAAAATCATCATTATACTTGCGTGGTACGGTCTGACAATTTAGTACTTTTAGTTTTTTATTCATTAAATATGGTGGTAATAGTGCCTTATGTGCTTACAGATGATGTAGCGTGAACAGTTTGGGGATGAGAAGCAACCATATGTTTTCAAATGATAAATTCTGCATTCAGTTGGGCCTTCTTGTTTGTAAAGAAAGAATCATTTGGAACCATGCAGTGGTTTGTAGTCGTGCAAAATATTAAACAATTTTTGATATGCTGCATACTGAGCTAAGTCATTAGGAAAAGAGCCTTTATCACAATTAATCTGGGTATAATCTAAAATACTATATTTTTTTTCTGCTGTTTCCTTCAGCCATAGATGATATCTGCACTCACCTTAGTAGTAAGAAGCAATACTAGCAGATCAGGAAATCACAGAATTTGGTAGTGAAGCCA